TTAATAACGTATTCGAAAATCGAAAAAAAAATGTTTACTCGACCTTTTCAAAAATAAGCAAAGTACCCCTTAACTTCTGTTAATTCGACGCCCTATTTCATAACAGGGGGGAACGCGCCGTCGGACTATAGAGCGCTCGAACGTTGAAGCGAAACAGCTGATTTCCTCACTCGTCTTGAATTTTGCAATTAGTTTAAAAATCAAAGTGCAGCGGATCCCAATTTTATAAACAAAGTGCTATGGATGGATGTGAGTGTTTTTTTAGCCGTACTGTCATTTTAAATAGTTAGATACCATACTACTCTTTGAAAAGCAATAAGTCAGGTATACGTACTACAAACTGAATAATTAATAAATTAATACTAAAAACTCATATTCAATTATAAAACATAGTGAAAATAACAATATCAGAATAACCTAACATTCCAAAACAATTATTATCCTTGTTGTTTTTATTAACAAATAAATAATACTTGTTAATATTTAAAATGTAATGTCATTGATGTGTCTAGGCAAAAAGATTTGTTTTTCCTTATCGTTCATTACGGATTTAAAATGTAGTAAAAACTAGGTTAATGACCGAATAATGCGGTGGGTCAAAATTCACTCTCGATAAACCTTTGTGGCTCAGGAGCGGTCCAAAAAGAGGTTTAAATAATGATTTGAAAATATTTTATTATTACAAATACAAAAATTTTACAAGAGTGAAAAATTCTTAACAAATAAAAATAGAAGCTACAGCATCATTCCTAACACAATTATGAGCAGACTAATAAGGGAGGGGATATTTTTCACAGTTCCTTTAATCCAATTACTTCTTTTACTATGTTTTATGTATTAGTGTACCAAATGCCAATAAAATCTTTGAAGACGTTTCATATTTATTTGAAAAAAGCATTTGATGCCCTGTAGCGACTAAACGAAGCAACTTAGAATAGAGGTGAGTTTAGTTAAATTTGCTTATTTTGAACGCAGGAAACTGTGGTTGGCTCTATGTACACGAAATATTGGAACACCTTGTATAAATCATGTATAATTCTGAAGTTATTGTTTGGTTTGATTTAGGAACCCACGTTTCGCGAAAGTCGTTATCATCTTCAAGGCACATTAAAACTTATAATTATTGCTTACTTCACTTATCAAGTATATACGTTCATTATTACATCTCTCGATACGTAGTTGCTAATTAGACGCCATCTAGACGCTATTTACGACTTAATTCCTATTACTCGGGACCTGAATTATCTGTCGTCACGTTCGACATAGGCCTTAATTAAGGAATTAAAAAAAAAGCAGCGCCGTTAAAGAGCCTATGAATGAACACGAATCTGTGTAATTCTCGGGGAAGGAGAAAGTAATTTTGTCCCGAAGGACATTAAAAGAATCGAAAAGGATCTGAATGCGGCAGTAATATTTAATTGAATGTCTGAGTTATTATTTCCATGTACATTGAGATTTCGTGCAAATCTAAGTATAACAATTATGGAAAAAATATATGTCAGGTTTTCCATCAATTTCTTTTACAGCGAATTGAACTGTGCCTTTTTTCCATCCTTTAAAACCTTGTAACTCTCTTATAGCTAGAGCTCGGGACTCGATCGGATGATCATAGCCATCGCGTCGGCCTTTTCCTACAGCGCACCGCACGAAACCGGTAATTACAGCAGTTATTGGCTTTGCGTTTGCTTCGTGTATACGTGTTTTAATATTCTAATAATTTCAAACGCGTCAAGGGTAAAAAACGACATTTCGCTGATAAAGTACGCAAATTTATTTATTTTTATTTATACCTACCTGTCTATTTGTTTAGGACGAACACGCCTATGACTAGCCGACGAAAACCCCGTGCTCTACTATTAGCCTATTGCATAGGAATATTTTTCTTATCTAAACGAATATTATCGATGTTAAAACTCTGTGACACATTTCTTATTCCCTGTATACGAAAATCGATAATTATAAAACAAAATATTTAACGAGAGCATTGAAATGCCATAGTAATTGCCTTGATTAGCTTTATTCATTCTCGTCAACGGTCAGTGAGTGGCAGTTTAAATATTTAAGACAATTAAATCCACAAATATGTTAAGAAGAGTGATGACGTAGTTAATGTGTCTATTTAATTTAGAGACTCTCAAAACAATCTGAATGTCCGAGAAAATCCTAATTGCGGACTACTTGCGAATATCTGTCTTTAATTAATAAACGTTTATCAATTTTTTTGGACCACATAAAAGCATGGTAAAACCTAAGTAAAAGAGTTGAAGTATCCATTAATTTCCGATCAGCTTTTATTTATTTATCGTATTTAAAATTTTTACATTTTTAGATAAAAACTTGCTTAGTCTCGTTACAATTATTTGAAAACTGTCCGATTCACAAACCATCTATGCAATAAATGAATTTAAAAATTGCACGAACTACACAGTTTTGGAGTCACACAGTCCCTGTGCGAATGTAAACCTCCCCTAAACTCATCGATATGCCCAACAGTTGCACCCTTAGGGTGTCTGGAAATTGTAATACATATGCAACAAAGACAAAGGGCATATCATTCTTTCAAGGCTTAAATTCTCAAGTCAGTAAATAATCTTCTATAACGGATTGGTATAAATAATGATAATCATAAATTAGGTGATAGATAACCTGTCATAATGAATAGAATAAACATATTTTGTAACGCATTGTTGTACACCTTAGGTATTGCAACATTTTTGAAGTAAAAATACGTTTTCCGTCTGTGTCAATAAGAGAAAAAAATAGTGGATAGAAAAATCGTCTCTGTAATCCATCCAATAAATGTTGCACATAAATAATTACATAAAGAACACATCGATTGAAAATATACAAAAAAGAAAACGATCTTTGCTGACCATATCCTCAGGAAATGACATAACATTTTGTTTCACTTTCCTGAACCAATTTTTTTGTTTTAAATCCCATTCATGTTAAACGTTGAATAAAAAAAGTTTTAGTTCCAAAATATTTACAGATTGCCTTAAAATTTGACACATTTATTTGGACTGTTATGGCGTATTATTTGCTAAAGCTTTAGACAAATCGATATACTGGGTGACAGTTTTCTCCGGTTACCTCTCCCTTTTAGCGGTCTAAACTTTTACAGTGGTCTATGATGAGAATCCTAAAGAAACACGACAATAACGACATTACCTCATTACATCTTGTTTTCATCGTCTACTGAACTCAAAGTTGTTTTAAATCCGTGACACTACTACGCGAACCGAAACGTACAGACCTGCAAATAATGCCATTTTTCTCAAGAATGAGTTTCTGTAGGCGATTTGTCCAAGAGACAATATTTTTTTTTAAATAAAACAACCTTTTCAGTTGTTTTATTTTTAACAGCTTTGAAGGCATGCTAGTCAAAAACTAAAAAGTTTTTATTTAACTTATTTTTCGTAGATCGTATTTATTTATCGTCGTGAATATGCAGTCAAACGTTGTCGGTGAAATTTGCGGACACCCTGTATACTGTCAACAAAGTCACCCTTCTAAATATTTTTCGAAACGCACGATTCGAATGATTTTTTTATGTATGTACATGTAGAACCAATTAAAATGAAACAGTTGGCAATCTATGGCAATAGATAGTCATTTTAGGGAATTTTTATTAAAAATATGGCTACGTACTCTTAAACTGTTTCATTTAAAACTCTTATATCTCACTTTTCATCAATTTATAATGCATAATTTTCTTTGTAATTCTCTTAATTTTTTTAACGTTTTTGTTCCAGTTTCAGACTCTAGAAGACAATAAAAATGCCTGATGAAGAAAACTTATCTTATTGAGTCTGCGCATAGGCTTAAAATTGTGAAAATATTAGGTCCGTCAACTATAATACCAATCGTAACTAGCAAGATCAGAAATGGGATAATTTTTCATATTCAGGCATTTCAAAGCCCAGATTTTTTAGCTTTTTTGAATTAAAACATTTTTAGTTAATGTAGGAAAAGTTCTACACACTGTATGTGTGTAAATTTGATAAAATTACACACACAAACATTTATAGATGTAAATTAACTTTCATATATTATGTATTGTAATATTGTGAACAATCTCCTTTTCTCAGTGTAAAATATGTCTGGTTAGGCAACAATTATTACAGAATCAAATGATTTTTTTATGTACATGCAGAACCAATTAAAATGAAACAGTTGGCAATCTATGGCAAAGTCACTTTAGGGAATTTTTATTAAAAATATGGCTACGTAGTCTTAAACTGCATCATTTAAAACTCTTATAAGTATCTCACTTTTCATCAATTTATGATGCATAATTTTCTTTTTAATTGTCTTAAATGTTTTAACGTTTTTGATTCAGTTTCAAATTCTAGAAGGCAATGAAAACGCCTGATGATGAAAACTTAGCTTATCGAGTCTGCGCATAGGCTTAAAATTGTGAGAATATTAGGTCCGTCAACTATAATACCTATCATAACTAGCAAGATCAGAAATGGGATAATTTTTCATATTGTGGCATTTCAAAGCCTTTTTTAAATTAAAAAATTTTTAGTTAAAGTAGGAAAAATGCTACACACTGTATGTGTGTAAATTTGATAAATTACACACACAAACATTTGTTTTAATAATTTTTAATTTTTCCGACATGAAGGAAATAAAATTACTCTCCCAAGCAAAATTGCCGCTCATTATAGCAGAAATACAACTTTTATTTTGTTAACATTTCTACTTATATAATCTCAATCCCAACAAACATATTTTGACACGAGCATTTTTTTTTTAATAAAATTAAGTATAATATTTTTGTTTGTTTGAGACGAATTATTTCCCGGAATTCAGAACGCGTTTTCTCAAAAATTGGAAAACGTTGGAACTAGGAAGCGAAACGAACGAGGGAGATTTCGAGAAAACGAATCTCGATCCGTTTCTTTTAAATATTTGGTCGAGGAGGTGCGTAGTTAATTGGTCTAGCAACTGATATAAATACTAGAGCAAATGCGTCTAGGATGTCACACGTATTTACGCTTCAAAGGTGTTCGGTTGTGAGTGGTGAGTGACACCAGGCTGATGTAACTCGTGAGGGATTTTCTTGTGTATCTTCCGGACGAATATTTTGATCTTGAAAAGGTGCGCGAATAAATTGAACGTTGAATTGAACGATAACATAGGATAAACAGTAGTGTTACAAATCATTAATTGAAAAATATCCTCGTTTATTTATAGTGGAAATGGTGAGTCAAAATGTATGCAGTAGGTTTTTGACTTCTAGTAAAATTTTTGATAGTGATATAAGTACAGAAGGTTCTTTGACATTTTAGGGAAATCGTCGGTAGTCGTCCGAGGACGACTTTTTTCACGTTACGTTAAATTTTCAATATTTATAAATACTTTTGTGTGAGGATGGTTTATGTTTATTTACATTTAGTAATATTAAATATTATTTGTTTCGTTCCAAATAAAACACGTTACAAAATAATATTACTAAGTAAATTTTATGGCCTTCGTTATTTTTTCAATGAATTCTTACTTCGCAAAATTAATTAAAAAAATATTTATGTATGTATTACAATCCATGTTTAGATAAGGCTGTAAATATAGTGATAGAGTAAATATTGTTTTATATTGTGGGTTATAATTTACTTTATTTTTATAAAGTTTCAACCCTTAATAATAAAAATATAAAATTAATAGCTTCTTTGACCTTCAAATATTTTTAAAACGCATATACAGGGTGTCTCATAATTAGCTGCCAACCCTGAACAGGCCGATTCTATGATCAAAACTAAGTAAAAAAGTTCATATGAACATGGGTCCGGAAATTGCTATGACCAAAGTGGGATTAATTCAAGAGCGATTTTCTCAGAAACCGTTAAAGATAACGATTTGAAACAAGAGTACCTTTTTAACGTAAAACAGTTCGGGAAAACGGAATTTTCTGTCCAATTTGTTAAAAAGTCAAAGATGAAAAAGTTACACACGCAAAGTACCAAGGGCCCCCCCGTACCCACCCCAATGGACCTTGTGGAAATAAATGGATTAGTCCATCAAATTGCTCATCAAAATTTAGCTGTGTATACCAAATTTCATTCATTTATCACAACGCGATTGAGAGATATTGCAAAAAAATGATTTCCATTCCTCCCTCTTCAATGGGTCCCTGTGCCCTTAGGAAGCATTTCCGGACCCATGTTCATATGAACTTTTTTACTTAGTTTTGATCATAGAATCGGCCTGTTCAGGGTTGGCAGCTAATTATGAGACACCCTGTATTATAGATAGAAATCTTTTCAATAGTTTATGGTATTATAAATAATTTATAGCAATATTTCAACTCTTAAAAAACTACCCCTAATAACAAAATATAAATAAAATCTAAACTTTTGCACTCTTGAATATTTTTCGTACCTTTTTTATTTTTAAAGTTCTTTTCAAAAATATGTTATTTTTTTGAAATTAAAAAAAAAATCAATCAAAACGTAATATGCATTCTAAACCGCTTAAACTGGTATAGTATATTGTTAGAACATAAAAAATGTAAATTGTAGAAGGATCACCTTTAATTTTAAATCTCGTGAAAAATTAATCAATTTTTGTACCGATTTTTTTACCGAAAAAGCGAATTAACAGTTTTATTTTGATCATAACTATGTTAAATGCTTCCAATTTAGTATCTGGCGGACATGAAATTATCTTCAACCAGCCGTATCTCAGCACCTATTGCACCTACATAAACGAAAAAACTCAATATTTTTCTTTTTCTATAAGCTTCATTTTCTTCGTGATGTATTTTTTTCATAAAATGTCTATTTTCCGAGTTATTGGAGAAAAACTACTGAAAATGTCATTTTTTTATTAAAAAATTACATTTTCAATCACCAATAACTCGAATTGATTTCTTTATCGATTCCTGGGGTTATTTTCAATATTTTATTTTTCATCCCCTGTCACCTCTTTGGCACTATATAACTTTTGTTGCCAGTTGGCTGAGACAGAGATTTAAAGTTAATGCAAATACAGTTTTTGAACATTCTAGTAAGATTGAGATTTGACATGCCAAAAGCAATATCTGCCACTTCCTTATAAACTATCTACAATCCACATTATTTTCGAATATTAATTTTTTTTATTTATTTGTTTTGTTTCATTTTATTTTTTTCATACTGTTCTATACTATATTATTACTATGGTTTTCTATTTGGGAAATTTGTTATTTGTTACTGTTCTGATGAAAATAAAGAAAACACTTCTTATAAATGTTGATTAATACAATTTAATCGAAGCTATTGGTTTACCTATTAGAAAAAAGTAACTGTTGAACGAAATAATTGAAAAACACATTACACCTACTATTTTTATGTTTTGGTGTACTTTTCATTTTTGTAAAAATGTTATAGATCATAGTCAAAGAATCACCCCGTATATCTTGAATATCTAACCAGTAATTAATAAGCAAATAAAAATAAAATACCAGGTAATTATATGCTACTTATACAAGAAAATTTATAAAATTAATAAAGAAATTGGTCCAAGAAATTATTGTTTATCACAATCCGCTATATTTGTGGCACTTTTTTACACGTTACAATAAATTGGCCAATTTATTGGTCAACTTTAAGGCCACCAACTTTTAGGATAAAAATCGATCATGATACCAGCAAAACATAAGTAATAATAAACTATAATTCACGCTGTACTAATATAATAACTGCAAAATAAATATGCGATCTATTTGTTAAATATCTAAAATGAAAACAAATTACAAGTTACTAGACTGTAATTGACACAACTAAATACAAATTAATAGTAACTAAATTCCCAAAATTTGACAGAAAATAGAACCAAACTGATATACTTCCTTAAAGACAATAAAGAAGGATATCCGAAAATGTAAAAACTAACTATGCCTTTCATAAGAAGAAAAAGATGACATCGTCAATTAGAAAAATTTTGGATAACACCGCTCAATGTAGGATGTTAATTTATGTCATAGTATCTACTTTAGAATTAAAAATTTTTGTTGTTTATAGCTTTAAAGTTGTGTATTTAAAATAGAAAAAATAAAGTTTAAAAAAGAAGTTATGTCATACAAGATTCCATTTTTTTTGGGTCGTTGGTTTATTTAGAAATCACCCTGTCCCTGTACTATCTTTGAAAAAAATACCTAAAAATGTGGACCTAGACCTACAATAACATCATTCTCAAGAAATTATTCATCATACAAACCTTTAATTAAACATATATCAAATTACTTACATAGTTTCCGTATCATATTAAAATATTTCCACGCCTTTTCAATTCCCAATAATTAAGTCACGCGCCTTTATCTCAAAACAATTCGAAATTCCTCGACCCAAGACGTTTCCGTGACAAAATAGCACGAGTCGACACGTTCGGCACCCCGTAATACGTTGGCCTAGCAAGTTGCAAGCTGTCTGGAGATTTCCAGGAAGCAGTGAAATAACTAAACGTGTAAAACTATACTCCAAATGACGCAACACTGTCGAGATTTTCATTCATAACCGGGCGGTCTCTTCGTAGGAGGGTACAGACAGCCTTGGTCGGGACGATCGCGAGAAAACTGTTCTCGTTTCACATGTTTTCTTTTTAGTCTCAAGGCTTTGGATAGTTAAAACATTAAGTACAGACGATGGTGATGTTATGGCCATTTGATATTTTATCGTAAGTTATTAGTGTTATATGGACAATAATGCGCCGACTGGACCATGGGCATTATTACCCTATAACACCCGTGGTGCCTTCAACGTTTAACACCCTACTAATATGACATTTAATCTAGGCGTTATCTCTCATTTAATGTATTTCACAACACCCTGTATCTTAGAAACGAAACCCTGTTGGTCTGGATTTAGTTTTTTTTTTTCAAAATCAATTTTCTTGTATTCTATCAAAGTTATCAAATATTATTTATGGGATTAATTTTTAACGTCTTAAAGAAATACTTTTATTTTTGCATGTCGAATTTATAGAGGAAATTTATAGTGGACCGGGTGCATTATTATCCTATAACACCCGTGATGCCTTCAGCATTTAATGCCCTACTAACATGACATTTGTTTGGCATTTAATCTGTATTGACGTTAATGTTATTCATGCTATTATCAAACAAATTTATTCCCGTGGTAAATTTTTTTAAATTCGTATTAAGGCGTTTCTCTGCCGTTGCTAGTAAAAATTGGAAAAGTTTTTAATTTTACGTAGATTTGAGTTATGTCGGAGTAACGATTTTATAAAGAATTATTTATAATTTTTCGGAAATGTCAACACCCTGTATATTGAAAACTAAACCCTGCCGATCGGTATTTAGTTTTTCTTCAAAATAAATTTTCATGTCTATCAAAGTCGGCCGCGTTCAGATCAAATGACCCTTTACTAAATATTAGTGATAGTGGACTGTTATATCGGTGCTGTATGATCTGATATGTTAAATAAATTATTTTTTAGGGTCTTAAAAAATACTTTTATTCTTGTCAAGATATAGAAGGTTGAATTTTCAAAAATTGCTCAGCATAGCGGAAAATTTATAGTGGACCGAGGGCATTATTATCCTATAACACCCGTGATACCTTCAACGTTGAATGCCCTAGTGTTAAGACATTTGCTTGTGTTGTATTATTTGGATTATTATCAAATAGATTCAATCCTATGGTAAAGTTTTTAAATGCTTATGAAGGCGTTACAAATATTTATAACTATTATTCTTGCCATGATCTGGCAAATCGAATTTTCAAAAATAGCTCCGCCGAGGGCAAAATTTATAGTCTTGTATTTTTATCGAGCAGCTTTGCACCGAGTTTATAAAAAAAAAAAACGAGGCATTCCAAATCAGACGAGCGTGCCGTTCGGTACAAAAACGTAAAAGAACCAAAGGTGCTGTTTACAAAATGTACAAGTTTTTCAAAAAGTGTAAGAGCGAGTTCCCACCCTGATAACTAGCCCGCAATTTTGCAACACATCCCTCCCATCACCGACTGTCGAGCAAGTTGAGGTAAAACGACTGATTGCCACTTCGATTGCGGCTCTCGCGACATACAGAGTGTTTGAAATAGTGTCGGATCTCGTCGCGGTGCCGTCCCAGCACTCCGTTACCTAATTGTGATAGTCCGAGCTTATCTTTCGGGGTTAGTGATAGCCTGTGGTTAAGAGCCGCCGTCTCCAGTTGCTATAAATGGTGAGTTTATCATATGTTTGTAAATTATTTAATTACGGGTGA